ATGAAGCAGCTGAACAAGTACCGGAGTTCCCCTCCAGGAGCCAGCCAAACGGATAGAAGCATGTCACAGGCTGTCAGTACTCACTCCAAAGCAAAGAGAGTTCACACGTTTGGAGAGGCAACTGGGAAATTCCGTGTCGTCTTTAAGAAGCACCTCAACCTGGTGTCAGAAGTGCCACCAAGGGAGACATTAGCTCCTCTCGTATACAGTCACATATCACGCGGCAATGAAATACTGTAATGGAGAAATAAAAACTGACAAATTGTGTTAGATGAAGAGCAGCGGCCGTCGTCTGGATTGCGCTGAATCGAATGATTTTTCAGCAGCAATTTCATGATATGCGATGTGAGGCTCTCGGACTGGTGAATGTTAAGATCACAGTGTTCTGTCGTGTAACTCAATGAATTCTTATGGGTTATTTAACTACTGAAATTACCGTGAGTGTACAGCGTCGGATATTAAGATGACAGGTGAAAGATGAACTAGAAATCCTAAAGAAAGAGGCTATGACCTAACCGATGTACTATCCAGGAAATTGTCTGGAGACACTGGAAAAACCACAAGGAACTTCACTCGGGATATCAGGTGTCTCGGCCGAGATTCGAACTGAACACCTCCACGTCACCTCTTCACTAATGCGTTGTGTCGCCGTATCATTTGGTAGCTAGGTACCAACATTTTATGGATCTTATAACTGCATTTTCAGGTTAGCAGAATTCTACCAGAACTTTGATATCTATCTAAATGGCGTCAAATCCCAGCAGACAGCAATCCTAATTCTCAAGGCCGTGAGAACCTCGACGAGTCGCAGGCCCATTTGACGGCTATGGTAGGCTTCACGCTGGACACTGCCATCACCCCTGCCCGGACAACACGGTTACCACAGTAAGGGCACAGCTGCTATTAAGACGTGGAAGGGGGACCAGAGGTGCTCGTAATCTCGTACTCGATGGACATAAGTGATCAGCTTTGAGCTCCGGCTTCTTTACCCACAGGAAACGCAGGAAACGAGTCCTTTTACCACTGTACAAGTTAAGCGGTCTCAGTGCCGGTCTGGACGCTGTGGAGAATTCTTCGCTTCTGCCGAGAATCGAACTCCTGCCATCAGACCAGTAGCCTATTCACCTTTACTGGTTGAATTATCCGACCTCCATCAATTAATTTAAAGACTGTGGTCACTCAATGTACCACCATCAAAACCCTACACCTTGCCCCCCCCCCGCACACACACATAGGTTATTTGTGTGTTTCGTATCTTTCTCGCAATAAATGGCGACTGTTTTCCTAAACAGCATAAACCGGTCGGTCTTCGTAATAGAGTCACAGTGTACTCTCTGTGAGGTGCGCACTGAAATTTTTAAACGTTCTTTAGACGAACGCCAAGCTTGAAAGGGGATAATAAGAACATTTACTTGAAGGACTTTCTTCATGAAAACTGTATACGCTTCGCAGACCGATTGCCATATAAACATTGCAACAGGGCTCGGCCGCCACAGTCCAGCTGCTACGCACACGAAGATTCCGGGTTCGTATACCATCCGAGATACGTACTATCCTTACCGAGGACTTCTCGTGGGTTTCCTCAGTCTCTAAAGACAAATTCTGTAACTCTATCTGAAATCTGGTCGGGACTTACACGTATATGAAGAGTTTCTTGACTCTCTATGCAACTATTAGCTTCTAAAGAATGACTCTGCTTAATGGAGTTGTTTAAAATTCGAAAGCCTGCAAAGCCACAGAAAAGAAAGTGACAGGGTTTTGTAGTGTGCCGTTGCCAGCTCCTGCACGTGCAAGGCATGATAACATGCATTGGTTCAGACAACCACAGCGGTAGGACATCCCACAGCACTACCAACCGAACATCAACACTTGAAGTTTGCAAATACCTTCACATGCTCAAACTGAAACGTGTGATTATATTTACATATCTCAGTTCTTACCTCACAGAAAACACATTTCACTTCTTCACAACACAAATCATTTAACGTTGTTTGGGGAAATAATCGCTGTTTATTGCGAGAACCACACGAAACATATAAACTCTTTGAGTGGGGTAATGCAGAGCACTTTGCTGTCCAAGCAGGCGGTACTTATTCGTCGCTAGTGCCTCACGGCCTAAACATTCATTGCATTGGTACGGTCCACGAATTCTATATGTGAAAATATTTGTTTCCAATATTACTCTCTTCGGGACACGAGGCACTATACTACAAGCTGAAGGGTCGAGGGTTCGATTCCCAATGAATTGCATTTTTCAATTGACCTAATCCGAGCATCCGCGTTATGGCCCTGGGGTCGACTCAGCATCTAACAGAAATGTGACCAGGAATATTCCTGGGGGTAAAGGGCTGCCGGCGCATAAGGCTGACAACCTTACAGCCATCTATGAGCCGACTGTCTAGAAAATGTGGGAGTCTCGACGTCTCAATACCCTATGGGGGTCCATAAAGTGTTACAGGGACAGGTTTAACTCTTTATTACTCTCTTCTGGGATGATGTGAAGACATATGGTCTGGAATATATTTACACGTACAATGGAAACTGCTCCCTCCTTCTTCACAGAAGAAGAGCTCTTCTACCATAACGGACGGCGTCACATCCCAGAAGATAGTATTCGTAGTCACTGCAGCTGAAAGCCCAGATTTCTTACGATATTTTCTCTCAGTAATTTAATTAAGTTCACTAAGTTCGACTGCACACCTTGGTGAGTAAAGGTAAGGTAAAGCTCTCCCTGTGCTTAACTAATTAAGCACTACGCCATGAAGGCGCACGGGGAAGTGGATGTATAGACCCAAATTCTCCTGACCTCGGCACTAGTTGGAGGTGAATGGTCAGCTTCACGCCACAGCCGCTTTATCCCCGAGGAAAGAGCCTCCGGTACCCATTCGTTGGGAGATTGCTTGGACCCTAGAACCTATCTGGACGACATAGAGAAGTAAAAATTCTTGACCCTACAGGAACTCGAACTCCGAACCCTTGGCCGTCCAGCCCGTAGCCAGCCACTACACTGACTGCGCTATCCCGGCTCTTGCACCTTGGTGAGTACATACATATAAACCAATATTTGTTGATGTAGCATTTAAAGTGGGAGACAACTCCCTTTGTGTTCCACATGACAGATTACATGTCGTTTCTCTGTCCAGTTTAACATCTCCTCAATCTTTCTGTTTAGTCAAAAAAAACTAACAGAGAACCCGCGACAGTATTCGAATCGAGATACCACGAACGAAACATGGGAGTCCCCTTCAAATCCAGCACTTTCAAAGATGGTCAAAATGTCATCACTTTTCACGCAGCCCGATGTTCCATTACCGTGTTCACAAGAGCCCCCACTGGTCATTCTCACCAAACAGGGGAATCCGGTCCACTCTCTCTCTCTCTCTCCCTCAATTTTTTTAAGATAAATTTTAATGTTATCTTCCCTTCTGCGCCTAGATCACAAAAAGTTAAAAGCTATCCCTGTGCTTAATTAATTAAGAAAAGCCACGAAGAAGTACTGGGGAGTTGAGGAATAGCTCCACCATTCCTGACCTCTGAACTGGACGGAGATGAGTGGTGAGCTCAATACCCCGGAAGCTTTACTCACAGCACCCATTGTGTGGGAGGCTGGGTGAGCCCCAGAGCCAGTCTGGATGCTGTAGAGTAGAAAGAAATCTCTTGCCTATCCGAAAGGTGCCCAATTCAAATTTCAGGACACAAGCTATCCTGAACAACATTTAAAGTCATAAAATTATGTCACACGAACTTAAACCAACGTCTCTTCTTTTTCATTCACCACTGAACTTCTGTCTCGACCACAGGTAATGTACACAGTCCAGTCAAATGTACTAGTATGTATATTTCAAGTACAAATTGTTACAATATAGACATTTATAAAATTTGGTTAAAATGACAAAGAATTAGGTCGTATGCGAAGACAAAGACACGGAAGTACAGAGATGGCAGTGTGTCTTCAACCTACGTAGCTGCATGTAGTATGTCTACTGCTTAGTACGAACTTCCTACATAGCTGCATTGCTTGCCATTCCTCGCTGTAATGCTGCACTTTCCTTCTCCTTATAGGCTATAGCTTTCTTGCTTAATCTCAAATTATTTCTATGGATGTCCTCACTCCTTTAAGGCAAATATGTGGACATTACCTCAAATTAGAATACGACCACTTCCTTCTGTATCATTTGCCATTTATTATTCACCCATCAGCCTATAATCCAACAGTCAACAATTTATTTGTCTGTCTGTCTCTCTGTCTATCTATCTATCTATCTATCTATCTATCTATCTATCTATCTATCTATCTATCTCTGTTGTTCTACAGCCCTTATGGACCCTGGCCGCTTTTTCAGTTTCTTAATCCTACAAACAGTCGGTAGGGCTCCTCGGACGGGGGATCAGCCCCTCGCAAGATTGGTACCTGCACACAGAACACAAACACAGAATAAAAGCACACAGACATCCATGCCTCGAGTGGAATTCGAACCCTCGACGTCACTATTCGAGCGGGCGAAAATGCTTCATTTCTTACACCGCGACGCCACTGTGATAAACTCCGACGCTAGTCTTGAGTAACTGATACCATCGCTAAATTAATAACAGAATCCAACCGCCTGAAGCATATTTTTTACACATGAAGTTTCGGAAACTGGACCAGTGCAGTGAAGGAGATCCGTTGTTTCTAACGGGCACAACCGTGCAGCAACTCTCCCCGCCCCCCTTTATATCCGAAAGCGGAAACAGATGCATTTTCCGAGATGCTGCATATATCAGGTGTACCCCAGACAATGGGCAGTGCCCAACAATATACACACACAGTGAACCCTCACGGCTCTGCAGGATACAAATCCTGTATTATGAAACAATAATTCATTTTAGCCAACTGAAAGGGCTGTTTGGACAGAGCATATCTCTGGGCAACACATGACGACACATGACGGAGAAACATATAAAGAGGCTGCGGATGGGATTTCGAACCAGGGACCCTTCTAAATAGATCCAGCACTAACCTTGGTGTGTGTTGCCGAAGTTTCTTCCTTTTCATGTCTGCGCCTGGCTCCTGCTGCAATCGGGAGCACAGTTACTCGACATCATCACCGCAAAAAACTTGCGACGTCACTATCACCACAATGTTTTGGATCATCAATAACGGTTATTGTGCGTCTTCACTGATGACTTGCATTTGATTGACCTACTTTCTAAGCACAAAATGTCAAAACCTTAAAGTAAATAACTATTTTGTAACATTGACAGAATACCAAAATGACAGAAAGCAATCGTAGATTAAATCCTTCAGTTAGTTCAGCTTATGGAAACAGCGAATAAATTTCTCACGACTGTATCACGATATGTAGGTTAGTAGTGGCAGCAGTACATGTAAAGCTGTCTTCAAGACGATGCTCGCAGAAAAACAGTGCGGTGTCTTCACCTCAGGCTTGATTTACACGTCAAAAGTGGCCGTATGTTGCATTTCGTATATCAGAAACAGAACTGACACTGTTTATACATAAATAATGGCGACCATTCGTAAATGGAAATTTTTCTACAGGAATATCTTGTCAGTTTCTCACAGTCACAAAAAATGCAAAAACAATCGATTATTTATCGACGAAACAGCTATTGTTGTTACTGAAATCATAGCACATTTAATGTCCCTCGGTTTGTATAGTTTGTAGCTGTGGAAATGTACCAAGCAAGGTCTCGACGTGTGTCAGCCGCTTGCGGTAAGCCAAATATTTCAGTAGATAAAGTGTTTTCCTCTGTAACTACTGTAACAGCAGTGACATAAAAGACATGACGCTTCTTTTTACGAATTAAAACAAAATTCATAAACTACAATTTTCATTGACACATTACATATAACGGTCACCGAATGTCTGATTTTACATGAGTATTTTCCAGCTGCCGTTATCACACAGTGCACAAACTGTAGTGATGTACACTTTGAACACAGGCGATGGCTTCATGAAACTTATAGAGCATTAAACACTATAAATACGAGGTTATAATTTGAACGTGCATATCAGAATCTTTTGCTTTCGATTCGACCTGTGTAAAATTGTACAAGTACCCAAGCTGCCGCGTTTAGCTCCAGAGATACATGGATGTCGTCCAAGGTGACGCTGCCGGAGTGCAACTGAAGGCCGACTCTCAGCTGTTCCTGGGAACAGACCGGTATGCACAGCGCACAGCATTCTGATTGGAGCTCCGGTGAAAGTTGGCACGGATGTACTAGCTCACATGAAAACATCTCGCATTTGTACAGTTCACCAGTTACATCCGGCTTGTTCGTGTCACACTGAATTTTATTGTTATGATTTGTTTTTGCTATTTCGTTCAAATTGATCGCTGTCACTAAGCACAATTTGGCGGTTTAACTGACTTCTGATTTACGATCTTCCGGTTCGTGGTTTGTCTATCCTGTTGCCTATTGAAAAGGGTTAAATCTCCCATCGCAGAAGTTTCCGTTTTGGTGTGGAACTCCGTTAGAATCGCTCCCAGAATTCGACAATCTGCTTCCTCATGGGCTGCCTGTCATGTGCGAGGAAGTTTATACGTGTAGGTCCGAACACTGATATCAATCAGTTATTCATTGACACTTAACGTGAAAAAAAAATTTGCAATTGTACTGTATGATAAAAGCCAATAAATCATCTTCACTAGGCGTAACAAGACTTTGTGGTCACTCTTTAGAATCACTACCATATCTACCACCTGGTTTAACCTCAAAATCTCAGAATTCTGCCCATTAATATATTTGTGTGTTTCGTATGAGTCTCGAAATAGCGATTATATCATTAAACGTCATTAACCGGTTGCAATTTTTAATGTAGACGTGGCGTGCAGGGTTTGAGGTCTAACACCAGTGAAAGTAAAGGGCATTTACTGGAATATCCCGCTGTGTGATCCGGTGGAAACAGTGTATTCCTCCGAAACGTCAGTAAACTTCTACCGGACTATATAGCGCCACATCCCATAAAATAGTACTTCTCGAAACGCAGTATGGTTTGTGTGGTGAAGCAATTCAGTTGTTAAATATTATTTAGATGAACTGCAGATATCAGATGGTTAACACACGTAGAAATCTATCTATCTATGGCTCTACAGCCCTTTGTTGGGCCTTGGCCGCTTTTTCAGTTTTTTAATCCTATACACAGTCGGTAGGACTCCTTGGACGGGGGATCAGACAGTTGCAAGATCGCTACCTACAGACAGAACAACACAAAGACAGAATAAACGCACACAGATATCCATGCTTCGCGTGGGATTCGAGCCCACGACCTCAGTGTTCGAGCAGGCGAAGCCTTTTCTTGCCTTAAACCGCGTTCACTGTAATCAGCCAGAAATATACCCACAGACGCTCGAATCCTTTCCTTACTTCACTCATAAACGCGAGAAACAACAACTGTTTGCATGTACGGAGGAACCAGACAGATCTGAAGACCTACCACTGGATTAAATTGAGCAGAACACGGGCGGTATACAGCGAGACTTCGGTGGTAATAAGCTACAAATGAAAGTGAAAGAAGTCAAGTTCCCGGCAAAGTTCGCCTTCCTGCTCTGCAAACTGCACTTTCTCGAGCCTCCCACATAACAGTTTATTTCAATTTTCATACGAAATATTTGTAACGTTGCAGTTCAGTGCATCAGATCCTTTACCTGCCTAACGCTGTGTGATTTGTTGTCATCACGGCAGTTACTGTGGTCAGATATGTCCTCTGGGATATGTGGCAGAGATTACAGAAGTTTCTGGAGAAAGTGCTGCCACCATCTTGAGAACGGAACAGTAAGCAAGCAGAATGGGAGTTTTTATACCCCATTCTCACGAATGTCAGTTTTATTAACATTTTCTAAGCAACTGTAAATTCTACATTTATGGAATTTTGCAAGCATCTAGCTGGCAGTTGTATGTACCGGTCTGTTTAATAAACAGTCATTTTGAAGAATGTATTAAACATATTGTAAAGGTAGAAATTTAAACTACCTCTGTAAGAGACCGTGGAAGCCTATATGCTTGTGAGACGTCGAAACTCCCACAATTTCTAGAAAATCGGCTCAGAGATGGCGGTGTGATTGTCAGCCTTATGCGCCGACCGCCTTTTACCCCCAGGAAGATTCCTGGTACTCATTTATGTTAGAGGCTGAGTCGACCCCGTGGTCTTAATTCGACTGGAAGGATTAGGCAATTTGAAAAATCTAATGACCTCATCGGGAACGGAAACCGCGACCTTCCGGCTTGTATCATAGCGCCTCACGCAGTATGCTGTAAAGAAAGTTTGGAACATAAGCAGACTTCTAAACTTCATGTGTGCCAATGTTCATAACCGCAAATGAAAATGACGATCGGAAGATGGGATTTAGAACCTCAATTTGGGCCTAAATAAAGACGAGACGCGTAATTGCACCCGATATCACCTGCTCATGTTGCCCATAACCTCATTCAAGCTTGTCTTAACACACTGAAGATTTCCAGCAGAAGCGATACCGGTATTCCTACGTACAACCTACGAGGCCACACGCCGCAACATCAAAAGTAACGTCGCTGTAGGGTTGGTAGCACTGAACCTTTGTTATTATTATTTTTTTATTGCTAGTGGGGTGGGACTAAGTCCCTTGTACTGCGGCCACTTCTGGCCTACTGCACCAGCCTCAGATGATAGGTGAGGGTGATTGTGGAGCAATTGGTGAAATGAAGATTGGCAGGGCAAACCGAAGTACTCTGAGAAAACCTGCCCCAGCGCCACTTTGTCCACCACAAATCCCACTTGACCAGACCCGGGATCGAACCCGGGCCGCCACGGTTGGAAGCCAGCGACTAACCGCTTGAGCTATGACGCGGCGCCTTCTCTTTTATTAAGGTAAACCTACTTAATTTCACTAAGCGGGGTAACACTTAAAAGTCGTATTCAGGAGGGTCTAGGTTCGAATACCAGCCGGCACACCAGCTATCTGGACCGAGATCCTTCGTAATTTTCTCTAGACTGTACACGAAAATTCTGGGACAATACCTAGATTAGGTCACGACCGCGTCCTTCCAAATCACCATTCATCTATCGCCCTATCATTTAACGCTATATAATTCTGAGATACTGAGAGCGTAGTAAGATATGCACAGGGCCGTGCCATAGTTTAGGAGGTTAGTTGCCGTCTTACCACCTCGGCGGCCAGGGTTTCATCCCAGGTCAGGTCTTGTGGGATTCGTGGTGGACGAAGAAGCACTGGGGCAGATTTTCTCCGAGTACTTCGGTTTCCCCTGTCAATTCTCTTTCCACCGACAGCTCCACGTTCATCATCATCTATCAAATGGGGCTGGTACAACAGACCAATCAGTGGCCGAAGTACCAAGTGGGCTCAGTCTCACTCCACTCCACGAAATTAAAAAATAACATATCCACAAGAAACCATCTAATCAGTTTCGAGACAGGACGCATCTACAGGGAGCTGTTAAAATTGACAGTGGAACAACTAACGCGCAACTAAATTGGGTACGTTTGCCATAAGCCAGGTTTATGTTAGGTCAGAAGAAGACTTGCGCAGACAGTCCTCATAATTTTCAATAAAGAAAGCTGACCGCTGCACGAGGCCGGACCGACCAGTCCGCGAGATTTCACTGCATCTTGCGCAAATTCCTGACTTGCAGCTCATGAGATTTTCGTAATGTCTGATGAGATTTCAGAACCGCTCTGCTGATGCACCAAGAACAGCAAGCACAATGCAGCTCTGCATTCAGTAACGTACATAACTGTTCACCAATGGCTACCTAAACACCGAAATATTTTGCATTTGAAGTTCCCATGATAGTGACCGTGAAAATTTCTGTATTCTGGCTTGTAAAACAGTGCATTTCAAAGAAAGCCTGACGTTAGGGGAACGTATCACCTCACTCTTCAGATTGCCTCCGAAACGTCTGGCTCTCTCAGAATTTGACGACGTTACAACTCAGAAGATCGCAGTATCTGCCCGTAATCCGGCCTTTTTTTTTTTTTTTGCATCGTTCAGGTGGTGTAGAATAGCACATCCAGTCCTTTTAACAACGGAGCCTTAACTAAGTAACAAAAACACTAACCAACCACTGAGTAACTAATTGACCAACCATCTAACCAACTGACTAACTCCATAAACAAGACCCATTTGCGAGAAGCTGACGTCGTTTAGCTGTTCAATTGATTCTATAATCTTTATAGAACCCGAATGTTCATTATCATGTTTACAAAAGGGTCTCCCACTAGAGCCTCTACTAAGAAGAATAGATTGCACACCTTCTTACACTACTTCTATATGGCTTATCCTTACATTGCGAGCCCATTTACACCTAGATCTTCCTAGTGGTCTGTTTCCATTAGGGTTACTTTTGCAAACTTCGTGTTAAATTCTCGCCCTGATGTGTTACGCGCTCTGCCCATTTTAGAATCCTTGAGTTGATGATTCTAATAATATTGTAGCATATAGACTCGTTACTAAGTAATGACTCTGTAAACAACGCCCGTTGTTAGACAATAGTTTCCTTACATGCACCAGTGGACTAACTGCGAAGCGGTCCGTGCGATAGCTGCGTGACACAACAATAGAAGAACTGTTGGAACGGTGTTTTCTGTGCGATCCGTGTCGAGATGTTGTAAGCAGATGATCAGTGGAGTTAGTTCAGTTGATTTGAGTGAAGTAGAGCAGTTGGTTCGTGAGTTAGAGGACTGCCGCGGTTAAGTCGTTGTGATGTGTTGCTGTTAGAAACCGGTAGCTGAGGCATGGCGTCAGGTCGGGAATGGTAAGGGGAACGAACACCGTCGAAGCCGCTACCAGGCAACGACTGGTGAAGACATAACAAACTGAGACTTAGTATGTTCCGTAGTGAACTACAGAGTGTGTGAATTAGCGATAGCGATAGAGTTACTTCAAGTTATGATCATTCCCATTTATGTCATCAATATGAAGACTTCGGACTTGAAGCAGAATGGAACTTCTTTGCCACCTCGCACGGGAAGAATGCCTGTGACGGTATTGGCAGCACCACGAAGAGGCAAGCAGAGAAAGCCAGTCTTCAAAGAACTAATTTTTATCAAATCATGTGCCCGCTAGAACTGTAAATATTCTGCACAGAAAATATCCCACAGATAGTTTACTTTCTTGTGCCAACAGAGGAAGTTTCAAGAAAAGAAATCATTC